ATGGATGCTGGGCAGGGTCACTGCTGTGGATAAGGACGGGGATCCCCACCAGCTACAGAGGCTCTGCAGCCCCCCACTGTGGGTAAATCTAATGACTCGTGGGCATTTGATGGTAGCTGGGAATCCCGCCGCCAAGGAGCCCCAGGGCCTGCATACCTCAGCAGCAGAAGGCAGCCACACGCCCTCAGCAGAGGGAACAGACATCACCCCCTTCATTCACTGCACCCTCTCCCAAGCCAAGGGGCATCGCCCCGACACAGCCGCAAGAGACGCAGACACGAGGTCTGATTCCCCATCTCACTACAGCTTCACGCCAGGACCACCCAGTGACTTCAGGGGAGCGGCTCCTGACGGACAACGGTGTGAGTGAGAGGAGAACGCGGCCTGCAGAGCTCCACAGAGATGCCCAGCTGTGTGTTCACTGCAGGGAGAAGGAGCAGCAAAGCTATCCAGCCAGTTGCCATAAGAAAGGTCCTTCACAGGAAAGGTGGCACGGGTGGTCCATCGGTTACCAGAGCCCTGCTCTGGATGCCAGCCTGCCCCTTCTGCCAATGGTGCACACAGCACCAGCCACGCATTCCCCAGCTGTCCCTGACCGGATGCCAGTGGCCCGGTTTTCAGAGGAGCTGAGCAGCATCTGCAGCTCACATCCGCCTCCAGGGGAACTCCAGGCGCTTGGCATCTCTGCGAATCAGGCTCTTATTCCACCTTTCCCCTTGCTTCTCTTGCCCCCCTTGGGCTGCACCAAGGGGACAGAGTTCCCACCGGGGCAAGCAGAATGGGGAGGTAACAACTCAGAGCAGTGGCAGCGTCTGAATTCCTTTGAACGCCTGGCCAGCACTGGGGGCAGCTCTGAGGAGGGCACTGCCCAGGCCTACCACATGGGAGGGATGGCACCCCCAGCACACACACTGGGCGACTTACTGCGGATCTGCTTTTTGATTTCCTTGGAAGGGTCCAGCCAGTTCTGAAACAACAAGAAATAGCACAACCAGGGGTCACGGCTGTGGTCTGGCAGGCAGGGTGAGGTGGGGCTGGGGAGGGGGGCATCAAACGGGCCCAGCAAAGTGCTGGGTGCCCCAGCCTTACCTTCTGGCTGTCGGAGTCGCAGAACGTCAGGCCGAAGTAATCCTTCTCCAGGAGGTTGAGGTGCTCACACACCATGTCGAAGAGCACCTGGCCCCGGGCGTGTTTCTGCAGGAGACACAGCCGGGCAGGGGAGTTGGAGCCAGGATCCCCCTCCCCCTTTCCAAGGCCAGTCATGCTGCAGCTGCCCATCAGAACACAGGCAAAAGCAGGCCCAGGGGGACGCAGCAAGTCTCTGCCCCTTGCTTCCCACTCCCAGAGACCAAGCGTAATCACAGCCCATGCTTGCCTGGGCTCGGCACTCTGGGAGTGCCCCTGTGGGCACAAGTGTCACCCCAAAGGGGACAGGGAGGGCTGGGGAGAAGGAGAAGGCAATGGCTCCATCGAGGGTGTGGCTCCCCCTGGCCCAGAAGGACAATGTGCCTTCCAGACTGTCCCCTGGGATACCCCGAGTCAGTATCCAATTCCCAATTCTCCACTCTTCCTGGGCTTTGGCTTTACTGGGGACTCTGAAACAATAACACAGCACAAAACTCAGCCTGAGCTCCCTCCCTGCACTCAGCTGCCCCTAGGGTTTCCCTCCGGGACATTCCTGTCCCAGCTCCCTAATCCCCTATCCCCAGAGGGCCAACACCACCTCCTATAGATTCATGGGACAGATTCATTCAATGAACTGATCCTGCAACAACCAGTTTCGGCAGCTTGGTGCAGAGTTTTAACACCGGCAAATAGAGCGGGTGCACAGAGGAGCCCTAGCACCACATTATAGGGCAGTGTACGTGTTTACCGCTCTAATGTGGGATGTAGCCAGGATCTGGGTGATGGAGACCTACCCAGCTGCTGGCACACCTCCCACTTTAAAGCAACACAGGTGCAGAGTAGCTGCTATACTAGATCTGAGCAGTGGTCCAGCCAGCCCAGGAGCCTGTCTTTGCCCAGTACCAGATACCTGAGAAGAATGTGCAGGAAACATCTCAGTGGGCAATTCTGCAATAGCCTGCCTGCAGGGGTAGTTCCTTCCTGACCCAGACAGTTAGTGGCTGGTTAATGCCCTGAAGCAGGAAGGTTTATACCGTTTATATTCCTATATTTATCCTGTCTAATTAATAGTGGGTGTTCTCATTATCCAGTTAAATGTTTCATCCTCATCTGAATCCTACCAAGCATTTGGCCTCTTGCTATCTTGTGGCAGTGAGTTCCACAGGCTAATTATGTGGCTAGAAGAATAATTTCTGTAGATCAGCTTTACATGAGTCACCCTCCAATTTCACTGAGTGGTTCTTTGTCCCTGTAATATGAGACTGGATAATTGGGGCACCTGATCTCCCTTCTCTAGACCGTCCATTCTTTTATATACCTTTATCATATCCCCTCTTTTTTACTTTGATTCTAAATTAAAGTCCCAATCTTTTCAATCTCTCCTGATAAAGAAATCTTTTTATGCCTCTAATAGGTTTAGTCTCCCATCTCTGGACCCTTCTGTTTCTTCCTATATCTTTTTTGATATAGGAGTACTGCAGAGCAGAATTTGTTCAGGAAAGGGTATTGGAATTATGTGTTTGATCCCTGCTTGTTTTTAAGGGATATAAGTATTGCCTAGAATGCTCAACTAAGGCAAAAATATACATACGGGGGGAGAGGGGGAAGGGAGGGAGGGATGAAAACGGGAGAGAAAGAAACCATAAATACAGCACAAGCCCCCTTTTAATAAAGCAATTTCTTTTTTCCCCAAAGGACTTTTCTCTGAGCAGAGGTTCCTCACTAGCCAAAATTACCATTTGCACAGCACAAAAGATTGCAACAATCTAGGACTTTAACTTGACTCCACTGTAAATGGAATCTCATAAGATCAGAGTTCACCACCGACAGCTTCTACTACAAACAAAACAGTAGCGGAAACAAAGGGCAATAAGATACCAGGAGATTACTGTTTCCTAAGCTACATACAGGAGTAGTATTCTGATAAGGAAACAGCAAGATATGGCTTATGTATCCGGTATGATGCAGATATTTATGGGTGCACGCTTGTGTCTGTTGTTGGGTAAATATTAATCAGAGTCACCCGGGAAGGGTGACGAAATCCATGTGCTGTGTCAGGGCTTGGAAAAGCTCCTCTCTCCTGCTTTAAGAGATCATTTCAGTTGCTATAATGATCCAGTCTATTTATTGCTTTGTGACAATCAGTGTTTCTGCAGTAAATAAAAACGCAGTTATTAAAAATGACAGTTAAAGCATGGGGCTGCTGGAGGGTTGAGATCAATGGAGCAAAGCTGACTCGGATTCCTTCACCCACTCAGTCCCAGCCACAGGCTTTAATATTCCCATTCATCTATGGAAAACTCAAGGCCGTGGTTCTGACATTAATTTATGCAATAGAGACCTCTGAGACCCATGACCTAAACACAGACTGATGTCTTCTCTGTCTGCTGAGCTTCTAGACCACCAGCACCAGGGCTCAAAATATTCAGTCACCGCCTTCCAGATGAGCGTGGGGCACTGAGGATACAATTTCTGCAGAACCTCAGTTTTTATATTGTTAAAAATACATTTCCAGCCCTCATGGCTCTTAGACAGTGTTTCTCAAACTGGGGTCACCGCTTGTGTAGGGAAAGCCCCTGGCGGCCCAGGCCGGTTTGTTTACCTGCCCTGTCCGCAGGTCTGGCCAATCGCAGCTCCCACTGGCCGCGGTTCGCCGCTGCAGGCCAATGGGAGCTGCTGGAAGCGGCGGCCAGTAAGTCCCTCGGCCCGCGCCGCTTCCAGCAGCTCTCATTGGCCTGGAGCAGTGAACCGCGGCCAGTGGGAGCCACGATTGGCCGGACCTGTGGACGGGGCAGGTAAACAAACTGGCCCGGCCCGCCAGGGGCTTTCCCTACACAAGCGGCAACCCCAGTTTGAGAAACACTGCTCTTAGACAACCTTCCAGCCACAAACCGAGTGTAACTCAATTAAGTGCCATCTTCCTGAGTCTGCAGACAGGCAGCTCAAGTGCCTCTGCTGCTGCTCAGAGCCTTGTGGAGCAGCAGCTGAATGACATTAACAAGAAGGGTCAATTTCATGACTGCTGTCCCAAACAGGTGAGGAGCAAGGAGGGCAGCAAAAAAACACTCCGTTTTATGCTACAATTTATGTTGCTTGGGACAGCTCCCAAAAGCAGTAGACGCTGTTTTGATTTGATATAAAATGAAAAAAAAAAAATCACTGTACAGATTTGGCGATTTCCCCCCCTCTCCTTTTTTTCTTATTATCCCCTTTTTCCACAGGATGGGGGAAATGCAGAGGGTGGGGGACAAAAATAAAAACATTTGAAAATTTGTCATTTCAGTTCAAATCAAAATGATGATTTTTTTTCCTAATTGACATTTTTCGTTTTGTTTCATAAACTTCAGTGACAAATTTTCATTTCTTTCAAAAGGGCCCGGAGCAGAGCAGGGGTTGACCACCCTCCAGCATCTAAGAAAGATGGCACTTATGGCTTTGTCCCAGGGGTGAAAGTAACTTAAAGAACTTACCGGTACGCTGGAGTCCTGAGCAGGGGCGTGGCCTCAACCGGAAGAGGCGTGGCCTCAACCGGAAGAAGTGAGGCCTTTCATGGTTTAAAGGCCCTGGGGCTCCAGCTGTGGCTGGGAGCCCCAGGGCCTTTAAATCACCCCGGAGCTACCAGTTGCAGAGGTGGCTGGGAGCCCCGGGGCTCAGGGGCAAATTAAAGGGCCCGGGGCTCCGGTCGCTGCGGAGCTCTGGGCCCCCCCAGGGGAGCCCTGCTGCCATCCCACAGCGGCTGGAGCCCTGGGCCCTTTAAATCACTGCCGGGGAAGCCAGTCCAGTACGGCATGGCATATCGGCTCTTGCTGGTACGCCGTACCAGACCGTACCGGCTTACTTTCACCTCTGCTTTGTCACACCTTCTTCCCTCCCATCGGCTAATCCCACTCTGCAGCAGTTATACTCAGTCCTCAATGGTTCAGGAGCCAAATCAGTGGCCAATATTACCCAAAAGAGCCACAGTAGTGAGAATTCATTGCTTCATTTACTATTTTGACATATCTATCTACGGTATTATCCTCACAGCAAAATTACTGACCAAGTATTCTCCAATTGGTTAATAACAGAGTAAACGCATCCTGACTGGTTAATAACTTAGACTGGCTAATAATGAAATCACACTGTTTTAATTTCATGTGCTGCAAAGAGCTGCAGGGGACACGTTAAAGAGCCGCTTGCAGCTCGCAAGTCTCAGTCTGAGCATCACTGCTCTGCCTGCTGCAAGAACTCCCTCGCTCTCTAGCGAGGCCAGCCGCTATCCCAGTGACACAGGCTCACTCTCTCACTCATTCTCTCACACACACACACACACACACACCTACGCTTCATTTTTGCCATGCTACACAAATAGCAGGCAGCCCCCGTGCAGAAATGCATGAGTCAGACTTGCATTCTCGCTCCATTCTTGTGCGTGCGTATGTGTGGACGTGCGCACTTGGGGATTCGTCTGTGTCTACATGAATGTGTATTTCTGTTATTGACCCAGACAGCTCACAGCGCCCTCGGTGCCTTACTGAGCTAAAAAGCAGAAATGGCTTCCGGCAAGGGAGAGCTCTGCTCTGAAGGTGGGAACTCAGAGGATGGGGGATGAGACATGGAGCTACGCCGCTGGCTTGTTCCCAAACCCGTGTGCTCATATCTGTGCATGTAGGTGTGCAAATATGTCCCTTGGCATGCCTGTCTGTGCACTCATGTCTCTGAAAGTGTGGGTCCGTGTGTGTCTATCTGTGCCTACGTATACACATCTCTCTGGTTGCACATGCACATGTGTCTGCCTGTCTCTGGGTATAGGAGTGTGAACGTGCACATGTGAAAATGTGTGTCTCTATGTGTGTCCGTAAATGGGGGTGGAGGGAACACTGTGATTAGACAAGGAGCCTGGGGAGGGAGGCTGGGACTAAGAGTCAGTGAGGATGGGAAATGTGGGCAGGGAGGGTGTATGACTGGAGGCAAGGAGGAAGGATAGAGACATATCCCATGAGGCACTGGGAAGAGGGAAACGAGCTGGCTGGGCAAGGAGATTGGGGCTGGAATGAGAATCCGGAGGTATGGGGAATAAGACTGGCTAGGTGAGGAGAATGTGACCGGCATGAGGAGCCAGGGATAGAGAAGAGACAAGACTGAGACAGGAACAAGTTGGAGGGGATGGGGCGGATGGGTCAAGCTTAGAGGGGTAGGGGAATGGGCAAAAGAGTATGTGCCCACCAGAGCACGTTTCCCACCAGAGCCTGGAATGGAACCCAAGATTCCTGAGTCTCACCATTCCTCTGCTCTTAGCAAATACGAGAGAAACCCACTGGCAAAGTGTGCGTCTCATTCCCCTCTAATGCTGGCCCACGTACAGGATAACAACCTACCACTGCTATCACTTACTCAAGTGGCTGAGGTCTCTGAGATGGATCTAAAGGTTCTATCCCTGCTGATGGACCCATGTGGGAGTCAATTCGATACCACATGAAGGAATTTCTGTTTTTTCCAATTTGCCTTTTGTAAAACCTAGGAAATCTACATCCAAAAGAACTATGTTCAAGGAACATTCTTAAGGTTGCAAAGTCAAGTGCTCAGAAGTTAGGAAATGGCAGAATTAAGGTGGCCTGTGACATTGTGAGCATGCACTGTGATAGTCCTCAGTTACACAATCATATATTTTGGCCCAGCATCCCTGCTCCATTCCATGGACCTGAATCAAGGTTAATAGTGAAGGCGATTGTCTGTAGGATCCATTTCGTTTGCTGCAGAAGTTGGAAGGTATGTAGTGAACAAGATAGGAGATTGTAGGAAGTGAAAGGATGGTCTCATAATTAAGGCAGTTGAATGCTTCCCTGGAGAACTGGATTCTATTACTGCCTCTGCCACAGAGTTCCCGGGTGATGCTGGCCAAGTCACTTAAACCAAACTTTTCACGGGTGAGCACTAATTGCATGTTCTTCATTTTCTGGATGCCTGATTGAGAGCCTGCAGTCTGATCTGCAGCAGTGTTGAGCATTCACAACTGTCACGAGTTGATGGGAGCTGTGCTCTGAACACATGAAGTGCTTTATAAGCGAAAGTTCCTTATCTTACAATAACCGACTACTACGACAGAGAACACCTTAGTGAAGGCCCTGCGGGTGGGAGCAATGCTGAAAGGGAACACACTGTACTGAAAGTGGATGGAGCGGACTAGGAATCTGAGAAAGCGTTGATGAGCAGGGTGAATGTCTGCGTGAAAGTAGACGTCCTTCATGTCAAGAGCTGTAAACCACAGGCCTTTTTCCAGGGGTAGAATTACCGATGCCAACGTGACTTTACAAAACTTGGAGTTTGTGCACAAAGCGGTTGAGGTGGCGGAGGGCGAGAATGGGTCTCCAACCGCCTTTCTTTTTGGGGACTAGGAAATAGGTTGAGTAAACACCCCTCCGTTGGCACTGAAGAGAACCTGCTCTCTCACTCCTCGCTGTAAGAGAGATTCTGCTTCTTGTTTGCAAATGTTCTCATGAGAGCGGCCCCCAAGGGAGGGTGGGCGAGGGGGTTTTGGAGAGGGTAGGGATGCAAACTCTATCATACAGCCGGAATGGATAATGCAGAGCACCCATCCGTCCATTGTTATTGTACTCCAGGTGTTGATAAAGAGTGCTAGACAACCACCACAGGGTGTGTAGTAGTCAGGAGGTGTTGGACTCAGTGGTTTGCAGTTCTCAAGCTCCTATCAAAAATAACATTTAGCCAAGGGCTGGGAACACACTGCAGAGGTGTGAGGAAGGGGATCTTTTCAGCTCTCTGCCTCTTGTGGGATGGCTTATAAGGTCTCTGGTGGAAGAACTGTTGAGCCATCCGTCTAGGCTTGTATTATCGCTGGTGGAATTTTCTCTTTGGGGCAGGTGTATATTCCCAGGGAGCGGATGGTGGCCCTGGAGTCCTTTAAAGTGTGTAAGGACTCATCCATCTTTGGACTGAACAGATGAATTTCATCAAAGGGCAGGTCCACACTGGGGTTGTGAATCTCCCAGGGAAACCCCAAAGCATGGAGCCACGAGTCCCTGCAGATCATGATGACAGTAGCCGTTGCCCTGCAAGTTGTATCAGCTGTTGTTAGGGCAGATATGTAGACCAACGGACTCTGCTTTCAAAACACTCCATCTCCAGGTGCACGAAGCGCATGCATCCCCACAGAGGAATACAGCTAGGGACCAGCTCTAGAAGAAGAATGCTAAATACTCTGAAAAATCAGGTCCCAGGTGTCTCAAATTGGACACCCAAATTGAGTGGATACCTTTGACTTTAATCTCTTCATGCCTCCATTTCCCATCCATAAAACGGGGATAATCCCCCCTCATCTTAAAGGTGAGTTTTGAAGATACATTCATTAATGTTTGTGAAGCACTCAGATACTGTAGTAATGAGCAGCATAAAAAAAGCCCATGTGCAAACTTAATTCTGGCTTCCGAGCAGGATTGGAACAGCAGCAGTCAGTGAGGTGTGTGGCCCCACACTGAAGAATGAGGAGAAAACAAAACATGGAAGAGCTGCTCACTAAGGCTACGTCTACACTTTGGGCTCATCAAACTAGCATGAGCCTAAACAGCAGTGTAGCCGCAGTAGCACAGGTAACAGCAGTGGAGGCATGGCTGCCGTGCTGAGTACATATCCACCAGTTTTAGGCAGGTTTATATGTGGCTAAGCCATGCCTTGACTGCTGTTACCGATGCTACTGCAGGTACTGTTATTTATTCTCCCGCTAGCTCGATGAGAGGTAGCGCAACTCCGTGTACATGCGCAGGGAATCACACCCCTGGCTTGTAGTGCAGATGGTACCTAAGTGAGCATCATTCATTCTGTGCACTGGATGTGATCACGTCATTAAAGACTGTATCAGAATTCTTCTGCGTGAAGGAGACAAATTAAGGCTGCACAGGTAACCTTAATTCTGGCATTTCCTAACTTCTGAATGATTGACTCTGCAACCTTACTAATGTTCCTTTACTGTAGCTGTGTGTGTGTGTGTGTGTGTGTGTGTGTGTGTGTGTGTGTGTGTGTACAGACACGTCTGTCTACCAATGTGAGTGACTGTGAGCATGTGTCTGCGTTCACCTGCCTGTCACATGTCTCCTTAGTCCAGTCCGTTTCTATTTTATACCAATCCTGACAGCCACATGAGCGCCATTAATTTGTGCATCTGACATTGCAGTGTTGTGAGAGGAAGGAGGCCCCTTTACTGTGCCCTGCTGCAGCTCAGCAGTCACCTCTTTCCCAGACCACGAAGGCTGCCATGCTGCAGTGCAAGGTCTGGCCCTGTTACACAGCCTGAGGAGTGGCTCCAAGCCAGGGCCTGTCTAGACCTCTCGCCCTGAGAACTGCTGCCATGTCAGAGGTGCAGGGCCCTGCACTCAGCCAGCTGCTGGCCGAAAGCGGGGAGCAGCCTCCCCGTCCTGCGCAGCCTCTGGTCTCCTCTCACACAGCTATGGGGCGGGGATGTCCACACCTGATTCACGCTGGGCTGCCAGACCCATTTCTCTGGTCCAAAGCAGGCTGGCCTCCCGCTATAAAACCAAGGGAGTCACAGATTACAAAGCCAAGAAGACCTGCTGGGATCGGCTAGCCCAGGGGTGGCCAAACTTACTGATCCACCGAGGTGCATCCAACGATCTTCAGACGTTTGAGAGCCGAGGCGCACCTGTCGGGATTCAGCCCCTTGGGAGGCACCTGCCAGGGCTTGGGATTTCAGCCCTGCTCCTGCTGAAGCCCCGAGCCCCAGCAGGCACACCCTGTAGGGCTGAAGCCCTGAGACCCACCTCCCCGCTGGGTAGAAGCCCCTACCTCACCACCCTATTGCAAGGCAGAGGTCCTGAGCTGCCCCCCACCCAGTCTGGTAGGTGGAGAATGGAGGAGGGGCGTGGGGGCATCCAAGAGCCGAACTTTAACTGTAAAAGAGCTGCATGTGGCTCCCGAGGTTTAGCCTGAGCTCCTGTGTGACGCAGGCCCTAGGACTTCCCTGAATTCAATCCTGCGTGAACTAGTGCATCACTTTGAGAAAAATGTCCGATCTTTGTTTAAAACTTGCCAGAGACAGAGAATCCCCCAGAGCCCCAGGTAAGCTGGTCCAGTGGTTGGTTACCTCACTGTTAAGAGTGAGAAAGGGCACCATGGCCAAGCAGAGCCAGGCAGGGAGGCGAGATGGGGTGACACAGACAGACACATGGGGTTAAGGTGACACACCCGTCACTCACCTCCACTTCACACTCATACTCAGAGGCGTCGAGTAGGGTCACCCTGCAGATGGCGCTCTTGAGCTTCTTGGCAATTTTCTGGGGGGATTTCTGGGTCTTGCTGGGCGTGGTTTTCTCAGACAGCCCGTCTGTTTCACTGTAGTCCTTCTCCTCCAAATCCATGCCCTGGAGGATGAGAAACATGTGTTACCCTCCTGCACCCACGTGGGGGTCTAGCCGGTGTACCCTGCAATGCCACCAGGGGTTTGGGCCCCCGGCAGGGATGACTAAAAAAAAAAACCAA